TGATCCTCAGATTTCAGCCTTCTGAGTAGCTAGGATTACAGGTGTGAGCCACGGGTATCCGCTGTCTTACTACCTTATTGGCGACTGATTGGTTATTCCCCAATCTTTTGCTTTATTGATGCAAAAGAATGTTTGCAATCTCAGAAACACTTGGCAAGATGCTGGTGGCTCATGACTGTAATCCTAGCTACTCAGGAAGCTGAGGTCTGAGGATCGTGATTCAAATCTGGGAGACTCTTTTCTCCAATTAACCACTGAAAAGCCCGAAGCTCGAAGTGGAGCCAGCCCCTAGTTTAATAAGCTGTAGCAGCTTGTAAGGCCCTAGGTTCCATTCCCAGCACGGAAACACCACACACACACACACACACACACACACACACACACACACACACACACACACACACACACACACACACGGCCCTACATTCCCAGCACGGAAACAACACATCACACACACACACACACACACACACACACACACACACACACACACACGGCCCTAGGTTCCATTAACACCACACACACCAAAACACCACCTTGGATAAACACACACACACACACACACACGCGCGCGCACACACACACACACACACACACACACACACACACACACCCCAAAACACTACCTTGGATAAAATTTATTCTCTCCGTAACTGGTGGTGTAGCTCAAGTGGTAAAGTGCCAGCAATGAGCAAAAAAGCTGAGGTGGAGAGCAAGGACACACACAGATACACAGACCTACTGTTTTTCTTGGGGGGCCAGTTGTGGGGCTTGAACTCTGGGCCTGGGCGCTGTCCCCCAGCTCTTCAGCTCAAGGCTAGAGCTCAAGGCTAGCGCTCTACCACTTGAGCCACAGCGCCACTTCCGGCTTTTTTGTTTTTGCTTATGTGGTGCTGAGGAATCGAACCCAGGGCCTCATGCATGCAAGGCAAGCGCTCTAACACTGAGCCACCTTCCCAGCCCCAGACCTACTGTTTTTCTTCTCAAGGTTTCTAATAAAACATGAATGTGGCTGGGCACTGCTGGCTCACGCCTATAATCCTGAGTAGCCACTCAAGGGGCTGAGATCTGAAAAGCTAGGTTCAAAGCCAGTCAGGGCAGGAAAATCCATGAGACTCTTACCTCCAGTTAACCACCAGAAAACTAGAAGTGGTGGTGGTAGCCAAGGCTCTGAGTTCAAACCAGAGCACCGGTCCCCCCGCCCCCCATCAATGTGACCTGCAATCTACGGTTTCAATTACGTAACTACCGCATATCTAATCTATGTAGGATTCACGGTAGGAAAGCGCAGTGCTGACGGGAGCCAGGCGCTTCTGTCGGTCTGGAAACCTGGGGACCTGCACGCTGCCGTGAAGAGCCGGCCCCGGCTGCCGGGAGAGGGGCAGAGCGCCCGGGTGCGTGGTCACTGAGAACGCGGCGCGCTGGCGGCCGCACCCACACTTCCGGAATAGCGCACGCTGACTACGCCACTTGGGGCGGTTCGAGCGCTGCGCGTGCGCAGGGCGGGAGGGGCGGGTCGGTGGCGCGCGCCCGGCGGGCTGGATGTCGGGGCTGCGGGCGTTGCTGGGGCTTGGGCTGCTGGTGGCGGGCTCGCGGCTGACGCGAGTCAGAAGGCAGGCGGGCGTCTGCATTGCGGGCACCACCTGGTGGGAAGCGCGCCGTCTGAGCTTGAGTGGCCGCCGGGGCTCAGAGGTCATGGCGAGCACGGCCGTCAAGTACCTGAGGTAGGCGAGCGGGGCGCGGGGGCTGGACGGGGGCGCACGGGTCCCGCCCGGGGCGGGAACTCAAGCGAGGGCTTCCCGCAGCCAGGAGGAGGCCCAGGCCGTGGATCAGGAGCTATTTAACGAATACCAGTTCAGCGTGGACCAACTTATGGAGCTGGCTGGGCTGAGCTGTGCCACAGCCATTGCCAAGGTCAGTGACACACTTGCAGCATTTTGGCAGGAGCCACTGTTCAAGCCTCCTGGCCTGGGCACACGAAGGGGTGGGAAATACAAGTGATCCAACGTGTTGTTGTTATTGCCTGAAACGCCTTTGCCTCTGCCTTCAGGCATATCCCCCTACCTCCCTGTCCAGGAGCCCTCCTACTGTCCTGGTCATCTGTGGCCCTGGAAATAACGGAGGGGACGGTTTAGTCTGTGCCCGACACCTCAAACTCTTTGTGAGTATGTGGGCAGAGGCTTTTGGGGAAGAGGGTGAGGATTCTGGAATCTGGATTGAATGCTCAATTTGTTTCCAACTAGGGCTACCAACCATGCATCTATTACCCCAAAAGACCTAACAAACCACTCTTCACTGGGCTGGTGACTCAGTGTGAGAAAATGGACATCCCTTTCCTTGCTGAAATGCCCCCGGAGGTAAGTGGCTTCTGTTTACTACTTCCATCTCCTCAGTCACTGCCTTGTGCTCATCCATGTTTCTAGGCTGAGCTCACTAAACAGTCCATATGAATAAAAATAAAAAAAACCAGCGCCATATGAATAAAAGTGGTGGAAGTTTCGATTATAAGGTGTGCTCCGTAAGTTTCTACTCAATACTACCATCTCAAAAACTGTGACGGTTTGGGGAGGGGGGGAGGAGGATGGGAAGGGATGGGAAGGGGAAACAAAGGAAGAGGCTACAGTGCTTGATAAAGAAATTTGCTCATTATCTTGCCCATGTAATTGTAACCCCTCTGTACAGTATTTTCACAATTAAAAAAAAGAAAAAAAAACAAAAAAGAAAAACTGGATGGTCCTCTCAAGCATGCAGTTAGCAGTTGGCCTACCCCTCAGGGACTGGAGTAACTGCTTCAGTCTAACCTTTTCTGTAGATGTATGAATTTGGGGGTGGAAATTTTAATATTTTGGGGGGGGGTCCGGTCATGGGGCCTGGGTGCTGTCCCTCAGCTCTTCAGCTCAAGGCTAGCACTTTACCACTGGAGCCACAGCGCCACTTCCGGCTTTTTTTTTTCTGCTTATGTGGTGCTGAGGAATTGAACCCAGGGCCTCATGCATGCTCTACCACTGAGCCACCTTCCCAGCCATTTTTTTTTTTAAACCACACATTTCACAGATGAAGACACTAGATGCAAAGAATTGGTTTGCCTCGTTACAGAATTGTTCACAAAGCAGCGAACATAATCAGATCCTGACTGAGGTGCAACCACAATGTTGGTACCCCAGTAGCAGGAAGACACTCAGAATAATGTATGTAGCCTCAGGTTGGCCTGAATTCATGACCATCTCCCCTTGACTCTAGACCTTTGGCAGGCACAATTCCATGTGTGCCTTTGAGTGGGGTCCAGGCGGAAAGCCTTTAGGTAAGGCAGCTGACAGCTCTGACTTTTCCTGCTCACAGCCTGGGATGATTGATGAGCTGTATGACCTGGTGGTGGATGCCATCTTTGGCTTCAGCTTCAAGGGTGATGTTCGGGACCCATTCCACAGCATCCTCAATGTCCTTAGTGGAATCACCGTGCCCATTGCCAGCATTGACATTCCTTCAGGTACTGGGACTCAAAAGGTTGGGAGGGAACTGGGCCCTACCCTATCTCACAGCACTAACGTCTTGATTCTTCAGCTGTGACTTACACTAAGCCTGAAATAATTTGTCCTGGGGAGAGGGGGATGGTGGAAGGGGCAAAACACACTTTTTTACATCCCACATTAGGGCCATGGAGCAAAGTTCATAAGTCCCCTTCATATGCTGGTCCATGAAGAAATCCAAGGCCAAAGTATAGGGAGCATCTAGAGAGTATGCTAAGACTATTTTTACAAGGGAAGTTGTGGAAAGGGACTAGACCTGTAGCTTCTTTGGTGCTTTCTGAATATCACCCTCTTTGCAGGATGGGATGTGGAGAAGGGAAACTCTGGAGGAATCCAGCCAGACTTACTCATCTCCCTGACAGCACCCAAAAAATCTGCATCTCAGTTTACTGGTCGATATCATTTCTTGGGGGGTCGTTTTGTTCCACCTGCTCTGGAGAAGAAGTACCAGCTAAACCTGCCACCCTACCCTGACACTGAGTGTGTCTATCGTCTGCAGTGATAAAGGATGGGCATTCATTCCAATAAAGGTCTAGTGCCTTCATTCCCAAAACTCTGGTGTCCCAGCTCTTCTGGCCATAAAGATTAGTGATGGGAGCCAAAGAACAATACTGGAAAGGTAACACTATCTCTCTGCAGAAACAACAGGCAAGAGAGGTTGCTGTGGCATTTGTAAACAAAAAAGAACTGTTAGATATCAAGTAAGGTATGATATCCTTTACACAGAATCCTTTTATTTTTGTGGTTGTGGGGGGGACTTGAACTCTGGACCTGGAAACTGTCCCTGAGCTCTTCAGCCCAAGGCAAGCACTCAGTGAGCATACTTGAGCCACAGTGCAAAGTTTTCTGGTGGTTAATTGGAGGTAAGAGTTTCATGGACTTTCCTGCCCAGGCTGGCTTTGAACCATGATCTTCAGATCTCAGCTTCCTGAGTAGCTGGGATTATAGGTGTGAGCCACGAGCACTCAGCTCACATAATTCTTTTATTCCCTTTTTAGTACTGGGGATTTGAACTCAGGGCCTGTTGCTTGCTTAGCTTGCCTTAAACTGTCTCTAAGCAAAACTGTCTCTTAGTTTGTACTTAGGTCCTTTCCAGGCTGGAAATGGAGATGGTTTTGGTACTTAACCTGTAGGCTAGGGTCCAAGGTAATGTTTCCTTAAATTTGGTGCCAAATTTCAAGGGTCTGGGCACTGTCCCTGAGCTTTTTTTCTCAAGGTTAGTGCTTCACCACTGAGCCACAGCTTCACTTCTGGCTTTTTGGTGGCTATCAGGATAAGTTTCACAGACTTTGATTCCTAGACTAACTTTAAACAGCCTCCTGAGAAACTAGGATTACAGGCATAGCCACCAGTACCCAGCCCAAGCTGATATTTATTAATAATCATTTGGTATACCCTGCCAGCTAAATCTAGCCTGTAGACCTGAATTCATGTTTTCAGAGTATTAAAAAAATGAATGCATTTCACACAAAGTTTAAATTTTCAGCTTCTTTAACATGGGTGTTACTGCAAGTGCATATGCCCCTACCTGTATTCCTCTTCCCACAGCCCCTAGCATTCCTTGTCTTTTAGATTCCTGGCTCTTTGTTCGACAGGCTAAGAACAGAACTTCTCAGCTAAGGCACAGCGCTTTGGTTCTCTCAACGGACTGCGGGTTCCAGAGTTCAATTTCCTCCTTGGGAACTGAGATGGGTGCTCGTTTCAACTCAGCTCTCTCTGGAGGTTACACTGTAGTGGGAAGGTAACTGATTGAGCCCCCCCTTGATCCAGACCTTCATTCTCTCTCTTTTGATTTCTTCTTTTTGACTCTCTGGCCAGTGTTGACTCCAGCTCTCTCTTCCTCTATAAGTGACTGCTGTCTTTTACCTCTGCTCTTTACTTCCCTAGCCCTATCATCCACATTTTCATGACTTATACAACAAACCTCATCCTGCTCCTCCAGATGCTTTTGTCTTTTCTTCTTGCTTTTCCTGCTTCTGCCATCACTCCTGGCTCTGCTTTCTGCTTCCCTAGTCCTGCCATCTAAAGCAGTCTCCAGCCCTCCTTCCTCCTCTGTGTTCAAGCCCTCTTGCTTACAATGCCTCTTCTTTTTGCTTTTGATGTACAGGTCAGCGTGTACTCCGCTTTCCACCTCTTTTGTACTGACACTACCTGGAGCCTCCTTGCCTTTTTCTTCTTCACTGAAGACTCCCATTTCATCCTCTTCATGGTGCCGCCTCTTCTTTTTCTTCCTTTTCTTGAGGGACCAATTGGATTGTTCTCTGTTCTTTAGTTTCTCAAGCCCACTTGTTCCTACAGTCTCTTCCTCCTCACACCCTAGAGTTATTCCCTCTCTCTCCTCCAAGACTTGTTCTTGATGTTGTCTTTTCTTCTTGCTCTTCCTGAAACTCTGGTTAATTTGTTCTAGGTACTCTTCACCTGAATTTTCAGTTGCTATAGTTTCTTCATCTTTCTGCTTCCTTTTTTTTTTCTTTTTTGGGGTAGGTTTGCTCTCAGTCTGTGGTTGAGAGCCCCCAGTGTCCTGGCATTTCAGACGAGCCAAGAAGGCTTGCTCCTGGGCTTCTAGCCGAGCAAGCTTGGCCTTCATCGTAATCCCAAGACGGGCAGCCCTGAAATAGATGGGGTCCAAGTCAGTGAGAGTGTCAAGAAAATGGACCTAACCTTAGGCCTTCAGGAAAAGTTAGGGGCAGGGAGCAGCCTATTTTCAGGCAGTAGATGGGTCAATATCAGGAATTATTTTTCTGGGGTGAAGCCAAAGAGGACAGACTACATGCAAGGGCAGTCCAAAGAGACCGCTACTTACTTGTGTGCTGTTCGACCCTCACAAGCTTGGAGCAGCATTTCATCTGTCAGACTGTGGGGCAGATGAGGAGTTACACACTGATGAGGTAGGAAGGCTTGCCTTCTCCTCCCTTCTGAAATGATTTTTCAACAACTTGAATTTTATTTGAGGTACTAGAACTACAACCTAATTCTATCCTTCAAGAAACCCAGTCATGCATTAGATTTAGCCCTTCCTCTTAAGATTCCAATGCATCCCCTCCCACATGGTAAAATGTGCTGAAATGAAGTCTCACATATTTGGAGGTATGGGTCCCTGGTTATCTTCATCACTGCTGCTCTCCAAGTCTCTGTCTGGCTTCTCTCCACCTGAAGTCAGTGTGGCTGTCTAGGAGGAATCATGGGAGTAGACAAGACGCTCTCAATAACCACTGCTAGTACTGTTCTCAAGGCAGAAATCTGGAGGCCCTCAACGCTGCTCCTTACAGAGCCACAGAAAGATGTGACAGCATGCATACTTAAACTTGGCATGTCCGGCTCACAGCTGGCTAGTGGACAGAACAAGCAGAGAGAAAGTGCTGTGGGTCATCACATTTTCTCAGTGGCTACAGGTGCCAGTAACTGCAAATAAAAATGGCACTTTATCCCCTACCCCAGACCTATTCATCATACCTGTTTAATTAGATTTACTGAGAAACTATTACGGACCAGGAGTTGAGGGTGGTGTAGAAGGAGATGGATCCAGCTGAGATGGAACTGCATAGGGAAGGAGGGAAGGGAGTATGACAGAACATGGGCAAGTAAGACCAAATTGTTCCCTGGCTTACTATAGGAGCATCCCCAAACATGAGGATTTGAGGAGTAGTTTCTACAATTAACTAATTTGTTAGATGAGTCTGGAAGACAAGAAAAAGTTAGTAGGAAAAGAGCAAAGGGAGAAATGGCCCTGCAGAGGGAACAGCATGTGCAAAAACCTGAGGACTGAAGAAAATACTGTCTTGAAAAAAAAAAAAAATGGCAAGGAATGTGGCTTAGTGGTAGAGTGCTTGCCTAGCATGCATGAAGCCAAGGTACCACATAAACAGAAAAAGCTGAAAGCAGCCCAGTGGCTCAACTGGTAAAATGCTAGCCTTGTGCAAAAGAAGCTCAGGGACAGTGCCCAGGCCCTGAGTTCAAGCTCCAAGACTGGCAAGAAGGGGGTGGGGAAAGGGAAGGAAAGAAAAAGAAAGAAAAAAGGAAGGAAGGAAGAAAGAAAAAGAAGGAAGGAAGCAAGGAAGGTAGGAAAGAAGGAAGGAAGGGAGGGAAAGAAAGAAAAAGATTCTACTTGGCTAGCAATCATGGAGAGGGAAGGCAAGAAATTAGGCTGGAGAAGGCAGACAAGGCATGTAGGTCCATGTAAGACAGTCTTGATAAATGTAGATAGTCATCCTAGGTCACAGAAATAATTTTATGGATGCTTCCGGATGCTTTGTGAAGGAGTGAATTGATTGGGGTGGGGAGTGAGACTGGAGTCAGGAAGGCTGTTAAAGACATGAAAACGGGCTGGGAAGGTGGCTCAGTGGTAGAGTGCTTGCCTTGCACGAATGAGGCCCTGGGTTCGATTCCTCAGCACCACATAAAAAAAGCCGGAAGTGGTGCTGTGGCTCAAGTGGTAGAGCACTAGTCTTGAGCTGAAGAGCTGAGGAACAGCGCCCAGGCCCACAGTTTGGGCCCCATGACCGACAAAAAACAAAACTCATCTGGAGTAGTACATGGCAACCAAAATGGGAAAGCTTTACTAGATTACATGTAAAGCTCTCAGCACCTAATAGGTGATCATTAAATGTTCCCTTCTATTGGTATAGTAAAAACAGCCCCAAATCCTAGGGTCTAGTTCTTTCTGTTATTATTAGCCAGCTGTAAACTCTGGCAAGCCATGTTTCACTATTTGGGACACATATGCAAAGGACAGATCAGATAATCTCTCAAGTCTCCTCTGGCTTCTAAACTCTATCAATTAGGCATCATAAGCCCATCCTCAACCCACCCCTGTTCTCTGGCAGCTCCTAACTCAAGGGACTACACTCTACCTTCTAGTCCTCCACTCCCTACTTCTGTTCCCTCAACAGACTGCAGGAAATCCATGGAACCTGAAGATCTCAGTTCTTGCTGAGGGTGTGGGCAGTCTAAGGAAGCACAGCAAAGGTGGCGCAGGATCTCAGGATATTAGGACATCCTGAGAATTGAAAGGACACACAAGGCAATTGCTCAGATTCTAATGGAGATAGGAAAGGGGTAGGGAGAAGGAGGATGGATTCTCTCACCCAGCTTCTAATACCTTCACAAACTTCTGATATAACAAATTAGGCTTGGAGTACTTTCGATTGGCAGTCTCTTCAGAAAGGTGCTTTATCTGTACTCCATCCTGAAGGAAAATATCAGTGAGTAGGTGACATAGTATATCTTCCCTACCGCATGCAAGACCCTCCTGTTTCATGTGTCTACCTAACAAGCTCATACCTGTCCAGTTTCTACTACCAAATTGGCTGCAGTCTTATTGAAGAGCTCATTCCACCAGTGGTTTGTGAACTCCTTAGCAGGGTCATGCCCCACCTGTCAGGAGAATAAGTATGCGCTCTGAGTACCTCCCCACCTGTCCTCAAGCATCCAGCTCCCATCATGGCATGCTGAATAGCATTCCAGTCTTACCCCATGAGTATCTTGCTTCAGGGTCACTTTGAGGGCCTGAGTGATGCCATTCTCCTTTCGGCCCAGGCCTTTGCCTACAGAGGATAATGTGACAGTCATATTCAGTAGTCTGCCCTGAAGACTCACCAGACACCCCACACATCTAGTAATGTATGCTGTTTTCAGAAACCCTCCCAGCTTCAAGCAACCTCTTGAGCCGGAACTATCTTTTCTGTCACATCTCTATCTGTCTCTCTCTTTTGGAGATACTGGGTTTAGGTAATGGCCTCATGCTTGGTAGCTAGGTGCTCTACCACAGAGCCATACCTCTAGTCCTTTTTTCAAGCTAGTTATTTTGAAATAGTCTTGCTTTTTGCCTGAACATGTGTCTAGACCTCCCTTCTTCTATTTTAAGCTCCCTGCCATAGCTAGGATGACAGGCACATGCCACCACACCCAGGTTTCTGTGGTCATGGGAGTCTGAGAAGTTTTGTTTTTTTTTTTTTTACTCAGGCTAGCTTTAGAACCTTGATTTTTCTTTTTTCTTTTCTTTTTCTTTTTTTTCTTTGCCGGTCGTGGGGCTTGAACTCTGGACCTGGAAGCTGTCCCTCAGCTCTTCAGTTCAAGGCAAATGCTCTACCACTTACGCCACAGCACCACTTCTGTTTTTCTGGTGGTTAATTGGAGATAAGACTCTCACGGACTTTTCTGCCTGAGCTGGCTTTGAACCGCAATTCTCAGATCTCAGCCTCCTAAGTAGCTAGGATTACAGGTGTGAGCCACCAGCGCCCAGCTAGAACCTTGATCTTTCCAATCTCAGATGGAATGTTAGGCATGCTATTCTGTGCCCAGCTATTGGCTGAGAAGGTAGCTCAGGAACTTTTTGCCTAGGTAGGCCTTGAGCAGTGATCCTCCTGACTTCAGTCTCCTAAGTAGCTAGACTTGCAGCATAAACCACTGACTCTGTTTCTGTCATACCACTTTTGTGACAGAAGCCATGTGTCTGTCTCCCCCAGTTTTCTCAACCATTTCTTCTTCATTATTTACTCGCTTATTATCTAAGCATAGGAATTTCTCCCTTTCTTTCCTTTTCCAGATAAGTCAGAGAATTTATTCTTCTCTTAAAACTAGCTCTCCTTCTGAACGAATAGATACAAAGGGTATAATCCAAGATACTTCCTAGACAGAAGGAGTTGGGGGATGTGGAAGAGGCCTTAAGAGATCACAGGCCACAAGAGATCACCTTGAGTCCATCCATGCTTCAGCAGCTGCTCCTCAGCAAACTTCATCCCATGACTCTTGACCATCGGAGTGACATTCATGGTGGACAAAGCTCTGTCCTCAGGCTCACCAGGAAAGTTGCATTATCCTTTTAAAAGTGAAGAGAAAGAGGCTAAAGCATCTTGGCTATAATTCTCTTTCAGAGAAGAGTCAGGAAGGAGGAGGCCTTGTTTTTTGGACTCCATAACTGGCTCTGGAGGCTGACACCAATATACCTTAGGGTGAAGAGGGCTGGTGCTAATACTGGTATCTAAAAGGAGAGCCTACCATGTACTAGGCTATGCCAGGACTTTGCATAAATCATTTCAGTTGACCTTCCACCATATTTGGGAAAGTATAATTATGTCCATTTTACAGATGAAGAAACTAAGGGGCTGGGAAGATGGCTCATTGGTAGAGTGCTTGCCTCACATGCATGAGACCCTGGGTTCAATTCCTCAGCACCACATAAACAGAACAGGCTGGAAGTGGCGCTGTGGCTCAAGTGGTAGAGTGCTAGCCTTGAGCTGAAGAGCTGAGGGACAGCGCCCAGGCACAGAGTTCCAGCCCCACTATCGACAAAAGAAAAAAAAAGTTGGCTGGGTACCAGTGGCTCACCCCTGTAATCCTACCTACTCAGGAGGCCAGAGTTCAAGCCCCATGACTGACAAAAAAACAAACCAAAAAAAAATGAAGAAATAGGTGATTTGCTCAAGGTCACATAGTTAAGGTATGTAGAATCCAATCTAGGCAGATTATCTGCAGAATCCTCGCTCTTACCATCAGATCATGACATTTCCCAAAATATATCACCTTGTAAAGACAAAACTATGAGATGCTTGACAACCTGAGTAGTAAAATAATGGTATTTAGGGCAGCCTATGCCCTGGGCTTATGCCTCAACATCTAAACTGTCCCTTTGGTAGGAGTCTTACATTACTACCCACTTCCCCCCACATTGCTGCTGTATTTCAGTTTTGTTGGAGCAACTCTTTTGAAACTGTCCGGCTTAGGAAGGACGCTTTCCTGAGCATTTAACCAGTAACAGGTGGATATCACTTGTTACATTATCTAACCTTTTTAGTACTGTGAGATAGGTATTTTCTTTATTTTATATATAAATAAGAAATGACAGGTGTAGAATATAAGCCCAAGTTGCCTGACTTTACAGTGATCATCTATAGAATCACCAACTAGTGGCATTTATTCCAGTAACCTGCACATTTCTTGTGGACCCAGAATGGCATTATCTGCCTTCTACACTGTAAAACTTACAAACTTATGTATTGTGAAATGGTTAAGATGGCTTATCACACAAGACATTTAAAACAGACTTACCAATATTTACTCAAGACTGGCACTCTACTATTTGAGCCATATCTCCAGCCCTCAGACTACCAATGTTGGCTCAAAAAGGTTAACTTGTGCCTAGCACCAGAGGCTGACACCTGTAATCCTAGTTATTCAGGAGGCTGAGATCCAAAGACCTCAGTTTGAGGCCAGTGGGGCAGGAAGGCCTGTGTGAATATCTCCAATTAACCATCAAAAAAGCTTCAGAAGTTGTGGTTTAAGTTATAGAGTGCCAGTCTTCAGTTAAAAAAAAATCGAAGGGCTAGCTGTGCACTGGTGGCTCATGCTTGTAATCCTAGTGACTCAGGACGTTAAGATCTGAGGATTGCAGTTCAAAGCCAGCCAAGGTAGCAAAGTCCCTGAGACTCATCTCCAATTAACCACCAGAAAACTGGAAGTAGAGCTCTGGCCTAGCACTAGCCTTGAGCAAAAAGAGCTCAGGGACGGCACTCTGAGTTCAACCACCATGACTGACAAAAGCAAAAAACTAAGGGACAGTGCCCAGGCCCAGAGTTTAAGCCCCAGTTCCAACACCAATAAACAAATAAAAATAAAAATAAATAAACAAATAAAAATGGTGAGCAGCAGTCTTTTTAGGTGCAAAGACAAGCCAATTTAGGAAGACAAACATTTGTTCTCATTTCTCTTATGAATGGTGATCACCTGAAAGCCTAGTAATGCTGAAAATTCCAACAGAAAAGTGTTGAACGAAAAAATGACTCTCTAGGGCTTCTTGATACTGTAGGCCTCATCATCTAAAAACTTCCTCTTTCTACTTGGGAGGTAGAGATCCAGGGGGAAAAAATCAATGTAAAAAAGGCTGGGGCTGGGAATGTGGCTTAATGGTACAGTGCTTGCCTAGCATGCATGAAGCCCTGGGTTTGAGTCTCCGTACCACATAAACAGAAAAAGCCGGAAGTGGTGCTGTGGCTCAAGTGGTAGAATGCTAGCCTTGAGCAAAAGCTCAAGCCCTGAGTTCAAGCCCCAGGATTGGGAGAAAAAAAAAAAAAGGCATGGGCACAGTGGCTCAAATAGTAGTATCTGCTTAGCAAGCAAGCAGCCTTGAGTTTAAACTCTAGTACCGCCAAAAACCAAAAACGTGCCCCCTCTAATAAATCATCTGTGAGCTATCAATCCCTAGATTTCAACAAAAATTATGTCATATTTAGCCTTATTTTACAGTTGTTCCACAACCCCAGCCACTGCCAACGGCCCTAGTAGAGACAATCCTAGTTTACAAACAAGTGGCAGGCACTCCGAGGTTTAAATATTCACTCACCCAAATCAAACAGCAAGTAAGTAGTGGATTGGTATTCTGGCAGTCTAGAACTAGAGCTCTCAACCTCTTCACTGGCTAGCTTATGCTTTCTGCTAGACTTTCACAGCCTATCCCCCTTCTCGCAGTAACTCAAAACTGCACGTGGGCTTTATTCTCCAGCCTCCGGCACTTGGTACAGCGCCAGAAATCGAGAATGAATTCAGTTCGCTACTTGTTGAGCTGATGACACAGTGGGCGCCGCTGTGGGCGGACGCCCCGGGGATGAACGCAGGCAGAGCTGGCTCTGCGCGGCTGCGAGCCACCAGCGCGCAGGCGTGGCCAGGGCCTCCCGGCTCGCAGCGGCCTACGGAGGCCTAAACTCTAGCCTTCCTACCGCGGCATCACGAAGGAAAAAACACTCTCCGGCCTCCACAGTTCTCCCGGACCTGGGAGGAACAGGGACCCCTACCTTCACCGAGGGCGCCTTCCGACAGACTCACGTGCAGCAGCTGACCCGCGCGCCGCCATCTTCCCGGAAGTGAGGTTGTGGTTCGTCTAGGCTGCCGGAACCATAGAGACGCTCCCGGAGACCGAAATTTAGTCCTCCCAAGAGAAACTACGGCGAACCCCAGCGGGCTACCCAGTTACCGTAGAAACGGGGCGGGGGCCGGGCGCCGGGAGGCGGTGGCTCACGCCTGTCATCCTAGCTACTCAGGAGGCTGAGATCTGAGGATCGCGGTTGAAAGCCAGCCCGGGCAGGAGAGACCGTGAGACTCTTAGCTCCAGTAAACCACCAGGAAACTGAAGTGGCGCTGTGGCTCAAGCAGTAGGGCGAGAGCTGAGGGACAGCGCCAGGCCCAGAGTTCAGGCCCCAGGACCAAAAAGGGGCAGGGGCGGGGGCGTGTCCCTTTGTAGGCTTCCGGAGTGTAACGCTGGCCTATCCCCCGCAGTTCCGAAGTGAACGGGGGCCTCCGTCCTGGCTGGGCGCCCTGCGCCCTTCTGCGTCCCAAACTGAACACATCTCGAGCACCGACGTGAGGAAGGAAAATGGCCTTGGGGAGCAGTTACTTTAAAGACTGGAAACTTCAGTACGTTGATCGCTGGCCAGAACCTGCCCCTTATGCTCCAGGGACACAGGAAACACAAGGATCCCTCGGCCCAGCCTGGGCCAGAGGGGACTGGGTGACATCGGAGGAGATGGGGGCCGAGGGCATAGGGACAAAGGCATGATCCGAATGCAAGCCAGGTTGAGAAGCTTGGACTTGGCCTTGTGAGTATGAGGATTTATCAAGCAGGGCAGAAAGAGTATTGTAAGGTCAGCGAGACCCTTAGATGTTATCTAGATTTCCTGAGCCGCCCAAGAATGAAACTAGGAAAAGCATCTTTCATCCCTTCACTCCTTGTCCAGTATTTCCCTTCACTTAGCGCCCTCTAGAAGGCTGTAAACAGAAAAGTGGCCATTTCACAGTAGCCCCTGCAACAAATGCCCCCGTTGTCATAACTTTCCACTTATTTTGTAAAATATGCCAGTGTTGCAACTTGGGTTATGAGAATTGTAGAGCTTGCCGAAAGGCTGTGGGATGTCTCAAAGGCTCAGTGGGCTGAGAAGGTAGCTCAGTGGTAGAGCGCTTGCCTTGCATGCATGAGGCCCAGGGTTCAATTCCTCAGCACCACATAAGCAAAAAGAAAAAAGCCGGAAATGGCGCTGTGGCTCAAGTGGTAGGGTGCTAGCCTTGAGCTGAAGAGCTGAGGGACAGCGCCCAGGCCCAGAGTTCAGACCCCATGACCGGACCCAAAAAAAAAAAAAGGCTCAGTGGTACAGTGCTTGTCTAGCATGCAGAAAGCCCTGAGTTCCATTCCTAAGTACCACATAAACAGAAAAAGCTGGAAGTGGCACTGTGGCTCATGTGGTAGAATGCTAGCCTTGAGCAAAAGAAGCTCAGGACAGCACCTAGGCCCAGAGTTCCAGCCCCACAACTGGCAAATAAATAAAAAATAAAAATAAAAATCCCATACTAGTAGTCAATGCTTACCTACTAGAACGTTACTTACTTTTCTTTATGTTGAGAAAAAAGGGGACATCCATGTACCCCTGGATTTAGCTTATTTTCTAATCCTCAGCCTCTCAACAGGTTCTAAGTTTTCTATATTATTAACCATTTGAGTTTATGATAGCAAAATTATTATGGTCCTCAGTTCTTAACCATTTTAAAATCATGTTCTCATAATGGTTTACAAGTTAGTTGGCCCTCTGTTTCCATGGATTCAATCAATGGCAGATCAGAAATATTCAGGGTAGGAAAATCAAGAGAAAATAACAATGCAATGAAAATAATACTAATTTAAGGCAAAGGACATGGCCTATGTGGTAGAACATCTGTCTAGGAAGTGTAAGCTCTAGATTTGAATCCAATACCATCCTCCAAAACAATACTAGTTTTTTGTTTTTTGTCTGTTTGGGTCCGGCCATGGGGCCTGAACTCTGGGCCTGGACGCTGTCCCTCAGCTCTTCAGCTCAAGGCTAGCACTCTACCACTTGAACCACAGCGCCACTTCTGGCTTTTTTTTCCTGCTTATGTGGTACTGAGGAATTGAACCCATGGCCTCAAGCATGCAAGGCAAGCACTCTACCACTGAGTCACCTTCCCAGCCCACAATACTAGTTTTATTTGATTTTATTTTGTCCATCATGGACCTGGGTGCTGCCCCTGAGCTCTTTTGCTCAAGGCTACCTCTCTACCACGTTGAGCTACAGCTCACTGAGCCACCTTCCCAGCCCCTCCATTTCTGGTTTTTAAATGGTTAATTGGAGATGAGTCTCATGGAACGTTTCTGCCAGGGCTGGCTTTGAACCATGATCCTCAGATCTCAGCCTCCTGAGGAGCTAGAATTACAAGTATGAACCACAAATGTCTGGCCACAATATTAGGTTTTTTGGTTTTTTTTTTGGGGGGGGGCGGGTTCCGGTCGTGGGGCCTGAACTCTGGGCCTGGGTGGTATCCCTCAGCTCTTTAGCTCAAGGCTAGCACTCTACCACTTGAGCCACAGTGCCACTTCCGGCTTTTTTTTCCTGCTTATGTGGTGCTGAGGAATCGAACACAGGGCCTCATGCATGCAAGGCAAGCGCTCTACCACTGAGCCACCTTCCCAGCCCTGGCTACAATATTAGTGTCACAACCATTATGTGGCATTTACATTTTAACCAATAGTGTAAGTAATCTAGAGATGATATACAGTGTACAGGATGCTATGCACAAGTTATGTATAAACCCATTGCCATTTTATATAAGGGGCTTGAGAATTGCATACTTTTTTTTTTTTTGCTGATTGTAGGGCCTGAACTCTGAGCCTGGGCGATGTCCCTCAGCTCTTCAGCTCAAGGCTAGCATTCTACCGCTTGAGCCACAGCGCCACTTCTGGCTTTTTCTGCTTAGATGGTGCTGAGGAATAGAATCCAGGGCCTCATGCATGCAAGGCAAGCACTCTACCGCTGAGCCACCTTCCCAGCCCCGAGAATTGCATACTTTTGTCTCTTTGAGAGGTCTGGAACCAATTTCTTGTGGATGCTGAGGAATGACTTGATTCCCACCATTATTGTACATTGTACCTATGTAATTGCCTCTATTGATAGGTAAGTAACTTGAGGGTCAGGCAAAGCAGGGAAAGGAATGAACTAAGGAGTAGGCTCAGCACTACAACTCCTGTTCTCTGCTGCCATCTAGTGTGCATTTAGTTAAACAACAACAACAGCAAAAACCCAATTATTTTTAGCTGTGCCCTGATGACTTAAACCGGTATATAATTCTAGCTATTTGGGAGGCTGAGATCTGAGGATTAAGTTTTGAAGCCAGCCCAGGCAGAAAAGTCTGTGAGGTTCTTTTTATTTTTAAAAATTTTATTATAAAGATGAGGTATAGAAGAGTTACAGTTACATAAGGAAGGTAATGAGTACATTTCTTTTTGAACAGTGTTACTCCCCTCCCTGTTTTCTCCTGCTTTCCTTCCCCCACCTCCAGATTCTTTTCTTCAATTAATCAGAAAAAACAACAAAAACAAAAAAATGAAAGTGGAGGTGCTAGGCTTGAGGGGAAAAAGCCTGTGAAAGCTCAAGGCCCTGAGTTCAAGCCCCATATCTGGCAAACAAACAGAAACAATAAACTTAAAATAGATAACTTATTCTCTTTGAAGCATTGTTGTCCCTGATGGTTATCTTTCTTTCCAGTTTGGATTAAGACCTGTCTTGGAGTCCTACATCCCTGTCCCTCTACATTGCCTGGCTTCACTGTTTCCTCTGTATGGGTTTCTAACTCCAGGGTTTGTAAATGCTGGCTGGTGTGGGTGATGGGATGGCAGTGAGGGAGGCAAGGCCATTTCCTTTGTAGCATGTTGTACTTGAAATGTCTTAGAGGAAATGTCTTAGAGGACTGTAAGTTTCAAGGTATCAGATACATATCCACTTGAGTTGCTTTTTTTTTTCTGTTCCTAGAGCTTGAACTGGGGGGGAGGGGGGGGGGAAGAGGGGAGTGTTGGGGGAGTGGGAAGGTGTTCATCTCTGAGCTTTTTGGTGAAGGCTAGCACTCTACCAACCTGAGCTAGCTCTACTTCTCCACTTTTTTAAAGTGTCTATGTGTGATTAATTGGAGATAAAAGTCTCATAGACTTCAGGCTCTGCAGTTGCAGTTTCTAGGTATAAGTCTCAACCCTGCCATCTACTCACTGAATAATAGACCCTACTTTTCTTTATTTGTATCTGAAAAGGATGACAACATCCAAAATGCAAGCAGATTAGCAGTGCCTGGCTTGGGAAAGCACTCAGTATATTTTAGGCAGTATTATTGGGGGCTGGGAGAGAAGAAACAAAGACAACATAATTTCAAGGGATCACTCAATTTTGTAATTTTTTTTTTTTTGGTTGGTCGTGGGGCCTGAACTCTGGGCCTAGGCGCTGTCCCTCAGCTCTTCAGCTCAAAGCTAGCACTTTACTACTTGAGCCACAGCACCACTTCCAGCTTTTTCTGCTTATGTGGTGCTGAGGAATAGAACCCAGGGCCTCATGCATGCAAGACAAGCGCTCTACCACTGAGCCACCTCCCAGCCCCTCGATTTTGTAAATTTTTAAAATTGTTATTATAAAGGTGATATACAGAGGGTTGCAGTTACATAAGTCAGGTCATGAGTACATTTCTTTTTGGATAATATCACCCCTTCCCTCGCTCTTTCAGCTTTTCCCTTGCATCTCCACAACTACACAACCACAAGTTGTATAGTTCATTTTCAACATAGTATCCAGTGAATATCACTGCTGCATTTGTTCCCCCTTTGTCCCTCCATTTCTGTGCCCCCACTTACCCTTCCAAAGACAAATAAATAAATGAACAAATGAAAGAAAGAAGAAAAAACAGCTTTGAAGGAAAAAAAAACTCGTTTCCATTTCTGAGTTTATTTTGATAAGTATATTTTATATGATCAGCTGTACATAGAATCATTCAATTTTTTTTTTTTTTTTGCAGTAGTCTTCAAACTTTTTTTTTTGGGTCCGGTCATGGGGCCTGAACTCTGGGCCTGGGTGCT